TATCCGATATATATATACCGATATCTATATATCTTACCGATATTTTAGATTAAATTGTGTTCAAAATAGTCCGAAAATTTTGGACAAAAAATATTCAAAATTTTCTCAGTAAATTCGGTTTTTATCAGAGGAAACTTGGCAACGTCTGAAGGCTCTTACGGCGTTCTTCTTTAGCACGGCAGAATATCCAGCCAGTGCACACTGCGAGCCTGTAAGATCAAGAGCCTGCAACAGAGCCTGCCTTTTTAGGTTTCAGGACATTTTGTCAACGATTTTTGTCCGCGCACATTCTTTTAGTTTACGCCCACACGTAAAATAAGCAACGGTGACTTGGTTCGAGCGTTATATTTTAGTCGGTATGTAAAATTATATTCACAATATGGAAATGAGAAATTGAGAGAGAAGGGGGTATTGTTATGGTTGCTCATTTTTTAAATGAAATGTTATTACTTTCTCCTTTTGAATCTTTTTAAATTGTCATTGGTGAATATTTGGTTTTATTTCTATCCTTAAAATATTCGATGTACCTTATATGTGTATAGGTACTTTTTTTATTTTTTTAATTTTTTCTTTACGAAATTATTACTTCATTTTGAAAATATTTATATTTTTAAAACGTAACAAATATTTGTAAACCCTTTTCCAGAAACTGCAGAAACAGAAACTGCAAAAATGAATAAAAGGGGAAAAAACCAAGAAGTACACAATCTTTAGTTTTAACCCATTTGTACATCGATCTAGTAGAGTCAAATACGTCAAATTTTGAGCGTTTGGTTGCGCGTACACCTCGCTGCAGCACAATAAAAGCACAAAATGTAAAAGAAAAAATTAAAGTACTTTGGAAATCATTAAATTTGACACGAAACCACCAATATTTAAAAAACACACATTATATTATTATTCTCCTTTGATAAATTGATGCATATATTTTTCCCATCTATTTAAATGAGAATAATCAATGCAGAGTGTGCAAACATTTCAAAATCCTGAGTTAAAAAACGCTGACTATGCGAGTATAAATATTAAAGCCTAAGAGAGCGGAGCGGCGTGCTGCCAGCGCGAGAGGCTCACTGACGCCTACAAACCTAAGTGGATACTTCACGCATTGCACAATGCTTGAAGTATCCACTTAGGTTTGTAGGCGCCAATGCGCGTTCCGTGCTGGCAGCACGCCGCTCCGCTCTGTGTTAGGCTCTAATATTTCAACTCGCGGAGTCAGCGTTTTTCAACTCATGATCTTGAAATGTTTGCACACTCTACATGGATAATTCGCAAAAAAAATATATATGTATTAAAGGAAAATATAATGTGTGTTTCGTAAATATTAAGGTGGATCCGTGTAAAATTTAATAATTTCCAAAGCCTCTGCAATTTTTCTTTTATATTATTATGTGCTGCAGCGTGGTCGTGGAATGTCCTGAAACCCAATTTGTGACACTGGGGAGGCCTAAAATACGGAAACCAATCAGAAATGGATTCACATTGTCTTAACTCTCAGTTTAAAGGGACTCTAGTTTTGTCAACCCCCAAGGCCAAAAACACGCGCCTCTTAATTTTTGTCAAACCCTCTAATTCACAGTGTGTGTTGACGCGCGAGAATTTGCGGTCGGGCCGGGGACAGTATAGTGCGAAACTAGCGATTAGAAACAACTAAATACCGGTAATGAATAGAAATTACTGTTGCTTTCGGGCGGTGGGCTAGCGGGTGGGCGGGGGGCGGGGGGGGAGGGGGCGGGATGGGGACGGAGGCGGTTCATGCTGCAGCGAAGTGGTGGTGATTGATGCTTTGTGGCTGCCGGTGGCATGTCATCGCTCATGCGAGCCGGGAGTCGGGAGCTCGGGAACCACTCCAGCAGCCGAGGTCCGTGTACCAAGTCATATTGTTGTGGCATATGTGAATAATAGTGATTGTACACAGTTATTCAGCCCGTTATGGACCCTCGAATTGCCGCCCTCCGCCCCGGCCGCCTCCACCCCGCATCGTTGACCCCCTCACCTTAGCTTCGATCGGTTAATCAGCCTCATCGAGTTGGAAGGCCTCATCGGGTGGGAAGGAAGGAAAAGGCACCAGAAAACTTCTCATCTGAAGGTTACAGAGAAATCGTTCAACGAGGCTGTTCGAAAATTTTACTGAGCTTTTTTAATGCTGCCAATAAAGTTCAGTGAAATTTTCAAACAGATTCAACCAACAATTTCTCTGTAAAAAAATAAAATGGCGGCGGAAATTTTGGAACGTCGCATGGCGCTTGTGATACTTTGACTGGAAGCCCTGGTAAAAATTGGCAGTAGAATCTGTGTTCCAAAATACCATAGACCTACAGCCGGCTGTAAGATTTCCAATAGCCTCTATAGCCGGCAACACAATTTCTTATAGCCTTTTATAGCCGATAGCGATTAAGCAACAGCCTGGCGATAAAGTGTATGCTAAACGTTACTAATTACGGATGCTAGGACTTGGTGAGTTTTTGGACTACCGCTCTCTTTTTTGGTCGTAGTATCTTGATTTATTTTGCGAGGAGAGCTCCGTACTTTTGAAGGATGCCTGCCATTCCTAATATGTTGAAGCGCCTTCAATTTCGTATGATACTGTGCAATATCTCTGGTTTGAAATAGTTGCTTCAAGCGCCGTGGCACGCTGCGGCGCGGCGCGGCGGGCGGGCAGCCAGCGCGATACGCGCATGGGCGCCTACAAACCTAACAGGGATACTTCACGCATTGCACAATGCGTGAAGTATCCCTGTTAGGTTTGTAAGCGCCAGTGCGCCGCTGCTCCGCATTGTGTTAGGCTCTAATATTTAATCTCGTGGAGTCAGCGTTTTTCAACTCATGACTTTGAAACGTTTGCACACTCTGTATGGATTATTCTTGTTTTAATTGATGAAAAAAAATATGTAGTAAAGGAAAATATAATGTGCGTTTTGTAAATATTAAGAAGATTCCGTACAAACTTTAGGATTTAAAAAGCACACGAGTTTCTACACAATTTCTTATAGCCTTTCATAGCCGATGGCAAAAAAGCAACAGCCAGGCGATAAAGTGTAAAGCCCGGCGATAGGAACTATAGCCCGGCTGTATAATTTTTTATCGCTTCGTGTAGCCCGGCCATATGATTTTTTCCACTTTCTACAGCCAGCTATAATTTTCTATCGCCTTCCTCAGTCGGCTATAAGAACTCCTATGGGATTTTGAAACGCAGCTCCTATCGCCAATGTTTATCAGGGAGGTGACGATAAAATAAAATATCGGCGAAAATTTTGAAACGCCGCATGGTGCTTGTGATACCTTGGCCGGAAGGTGATAAGAGGAGTTTCATAAGTTTTCTTTGAATTGGTCAGGTGCGCTGGTCACAGAATTCTAAAATAATTGAAATAATTTTGTTTTTATGCTTGATTCTTAATGTTCAGCTACAAAGATCCGAATATGAAGCATGTTGAGTATGCTGGTGTAAACAGGTGAAAATATCTCTTTCGAATTTTTCGGAGGATTGAGTTTGTAATTTGATCTGAAAAGTCTGAAGATTTCAAGGAAAAATATTCATAAATTCCTTCAAAAATAAATATTCCTGGGAGGAAATTTATCAACACTCGAACGTTTTTACTCAGCACAGCAGCATGAGAACTTCAGTATTTGTCTGAGCGTGATTATTTCATCATCGACGCTACCTCAAACAATTCGAGAGGTAAAGCTTAGCATGTTGATTTTTCTTCCTGGTCGAGTTAACATCCGGCGCTCTGGACCACAAACCCCGAAACCTCTCTCTCTCTTTTCTCTCTCTCTCCGTACGTACTGCTACACCGCACACCGCCCACCGTGGTATCCTTGATACGGGGTTTAACGGCTGAATGATTCCACTTGCCCCCCCCCCCCTCCCTCCCCCCTCCTACCCCACTCATTACTGCCACTCTTTTAGCCTGCGTGTCATTTTCATTCTTAAGCGGCGACAGGGTGTACATACAAATTGCCTTGTTAAAGTTAGCTCGTGACCGCAATAAAGTCAATTAATTAAACTGCTCGCATAAGACTAAACCCTCCAAAATCGGTGGCTGCGCAAAGCTGTAAGGGATATTTTTTTAATTACCTAGAGGGACGAGCAGCCGAAAGAAGACATCTCATAGTACGTAAAGTTGATCCACTTACACTGGGAACTTTGAATTCAGAAGCAAATATAAGGAAAATAGAGGGCACAAAAAAACAGTAAATTTGAAAAATAAGATAGGAATGTTTTATTAATCATGTTAAAAAAATGAGCTGCCTCGCTGGTTGGGAATTCATTATACATGAGTTTCAAATCAGTAGTTTTAAGCCGTCCAGTTACATCTAAATTGATACTTTTTCGGATGGAACCCTCCTTTGGGTGGACGAATTTGGGTTACATTTAACCGTAAAGGGTTTGAGATTAAAAAGCGGCCAAAGTGGCTATTGAGTTTAATGGAGCCTTTTAAGATGGTTTTTGCAATGAGTGCACCCCGATTTCGGCATCCATGAAAATCCCGGTGAAGCTCAAACTGTCCCAATTGCGATGGAACATACATGTGAACAGTCCTACATTTTGATTGCCTAGGAACAAAACCACGTACTTCCGCTCAGTGGTGGATCCAGGGTGAGTCGCAGGGGGGCCATTTGCTGCTACCGAAGGCCCGGGAATTTTCAAAAACATAGGCCCCTCCCAGGTTGAATTATGAGCAGTTTTAGCATAGAGTTTGTACATTATTTGAAAGTTAAAAAATTACAAATAATACCTCTTTCAACGTAATTTAATTTTAGTACATGGACTAGGTATTTATTTCTGCGGTGTTAAGTAACCTTTGGTTTGGTAAACTTTGATTATATAGTTCTGTTTTGAAACCATTTCTGTAAATTTTTAGGAGCAATTTTTTTCTCTCTTCCCCCCTCGCCCCCCTCGCCCCCTCGCCCCCTCGCCCCCTCGCCCCCTCGCCCCCT